TGAAGTCAATTGCAGTGTGCCTTTGTTCTCTACAATCATGAAACATCAAGTTAATGACAGCAAGCAAACCAATTTCCAAATACTAAAGGGATTTATTAAATGCTAACATAGAATAAAGCTTGGTACTTTACCATATTTTGATGGGCACACAAAGACCCTTGTTTCCATTCTCATGTGGTTCATACGATATACATGGCAGTTGTTTCCCACAATCACATATTCATGGTTTTTAATCTAATGTTGCTATTGTTAGTAGAAGAAGAAGCAATTTTTTTATCCGCATAACCAATACATAAGCCATTTCAATTTCCTAAGATGGTCTTCAGTGTAAAATCCAAGTAAGAATCCTAAGATGGTCTATCAGTGTAAAATTCAATTTCATAGAATTCAGATTCATATCATTCAACTGTAAAATCCAAGTAAGAATCTAAATTTACAAGCCCCAAATCAACTGAAAATAGCTATCCTAAATTCATAATACCTCTAAAAAAAAAAAAAAAATCCAACTTCAATAAAAATAATTAGCAATTGAAGGCACTAACATTCAAAATCCCAAAAATAACAACAATGCAAATTCATAAACACTAACATTCATAATCCTAAATTCAGAATCCAACTCTCAAATGAAAATAACAATCCTAAATTCATAACACCCCCCCCCACCCCGCCCGGCAAAAATAAATTTAATAAATAAATAATCCAACTTCAAATAAAAATAATAGCAATTGAAGGCACTAACATTCACAATCCCAAAAATAACAACAATGCAGATTCATAAACACTAAATTCATAAATCCTAAATTTTAGAATCCAACTCTCAATGAAAATAACAATCCTAAATTCATAGCCCCCTACCCCTGCCGAAAAATAATAAAAATAAAAATAAATAAATAATATCCAACTTCAAATAAAAATAATAGCAATTGAAGACACTAACATTCACATCCCAAAATAACAACAATGTAGTTTCATAACACTAACATTCATAATCCTAAATTTAGATCCAACTTCACAAATGAAAATACAGTCTAAATTCTAAATTCAATCCTAAATTCATAATCCAAAAAAAAAAAAAATCCAACTTCAAATAAAATAATAGCAATTGAAGGCACTAACATTCACAATCCCAAAATAACAACAATGCAGATTCATAAACACCAACATTCACTAATCCTAAATTTAGAATCTAACTCTCAAATGAAAATAACAATCCTAATTCATAATCCCAAAACAAAATCATACAATACAGTTATACATCCTAACTTCAGAGCCCACAAAAAAATTACAATCCTAAATTTGGGTTTCTATCGTAAGCGCAAGGACACAAAATCATCACACAAAATGATGGGAAAATCATAACTCTAACAATAATTGAAGGCACAATACAAATTTAAGCCACAACAAACCCTAGTTTTGCGATGTCAAGTTTCTATGAGAGGAGTCAACTCCTATATGTCTACCTAACACAAAGACGAAGAGGGATGAAAGAGGGATCAGTGACCTGAGTCGGTTTTCTTTACCCAACACAGAGACGAGATGGATGAGAGAGAAAGAGAGCACTGACTTGAGTTTTCAAGAGTTCAATCGTAGCTCCGATTCTAAAAGCGATGAGCCAAAGAGCGAGAGAGTTTTGAATCCTTGAATCGCAAGCTCCAATGAGCAAGATGCGGTTGTTTTGAAGCGAGTTGAATCGCAGCTCTGAATGAGATGGGTTTTGCCCGAAGTTTAATCACAGCTCCGGAGATTTTCAAGAGTTGAGAGAGGAAGAGAGATTGTTGGGAATGAGAAGAGAGATACGGAAGAAGAAAAAGGACAGACAGAGAGTGTGTACCATTTTCGGGCCGTTCGGGAAGAGACATTTTGAGCCACAAATCATTTTCTTTCTGAAGAAGGAATAAACTAGGGACCGTGATGCTATACTTAGCGTTTTTTGTTTGGGGTAATTACATGTAAGTCTTAATAGATAAATTTATTGTTTAATAGGTCTTGTAATAATTAATGGTAATTTTTTTTTTTATCAAATGCTATTAAAAAAATGTTACTATATGTTAATTTTCAACAATAGTTTGAAAATTCTGTTACAAAAACGTCACTAAATTATAAGTTTTAATGACAGTTTAAAAAAAAAAGAAAAGGAAACTTACGTGTAAGTCTGAATAGGTGGACTATTGTCCAATAGGTGGACTATTGTACAATAGGTTTTATGATAATTAATGACATTTTTCATCACACCTATAAAAATGTCAACAAATTGTTAATTTTCAAAAGACAATTTAAAAATTTGTCACATAAAATGTCATTAATTATAAGTTTTAGCCACAAATTTTAAAAAAGTCGTCACAAAAAAAAAGTCACTAATTTTCAACGTTTAGTGACAGTTTAAAAAATTCGTCATAAAAAAGTCGCTAATTGTAAGTTTTAGTTATAATTTATAAAAACTGTAACAAAAAAAAGTCATTAATTGTCAATTTTAGCAATATATACAAAAATCGTCACAAAAATTATTTTTAGCGATAATTTTATTATGACTTATTTTCAATACGATTTGATGAAAATTAAGTCCAATTAGTAAGATCTATTGATAGTTTCGTTTTGCTTTTTGTGTTTTGTTTTTTGACGTAAATACTTAAGCAAATTTTTAATATATATAATATAAAGGATAAAAATGATATATAATCTAGAAATTAATTTCAAGGAAAAATTCTATTTACAACTTGAGTAGATTTCGAGCCAATATACTTGACTTGATTGGGTTGGATAGATAAAAAACGATAATGCTACGTAGCTCAAATTTTGTAGCTCAAAAGTAGCTCAAATGGCCAAAACGACGTCGTTTTGAGTACAGAACAACATAAAAAAACCAAAAGACGTCGTTTTGACCATTTGAGCCACTTTTGAGCCACAAAATTTAAGTTACGAAGACTTTTCCGATAAAAAAATTACACCCTCCTTGGTTGATTTCTAATTGTTTTTTATTATTTATAAAAAATTAGCAATTACAAATAACAACTAACATTGTATTGATTGTTTGATAATGTTGTTATTCTTCCAGTTTCATAAAACAAGAAAAAAAAATTAAAATAATAAAATCAAAAAATTGTTTGGTGTATAACATATTTTGAAAAATAATCAATTCATGG